GGATAAAAAAGGAGTTGATCTTCAGAAATTTCCTCGCATAAACAAAAGTCTGAAAACACTCGCCAAACAAGTGAAAAAACAAGAGATATTATAATGTTATAATTTAACTTAAAACAATAGAACTATTGCAATGCTTGCAATATCAAACACCAATCCCCGACAACGACGCCATTTTGTTGAAATACTTCTTACAGGGAAAGTATTTAAATTATCATTTTCCACCGAGATTGATGTGATATTACCTCCATTCTACAGTTATAATTGTTTTAAGCTTAAGTTTCAAAAAAGGGTTTGATTTTGGTTTTAGTAAAGGAAAATTTCGATTTCATGCAAAATATCAAGTATAGGGAAAACAAAGTTTCGGTTTTAAATGTTTGGTAAAAGCGTGTCAAGATTAGGGCTCGATAATCTCTTTCGGACATATTTTATCAATCAAGTATGTGAACCCATTAACCACAAATATAATCACATATCCTCTCAAGATGTTTCATCTCTAAAACAACTTGTGAATTTTATGAAATTGATTTTTAGATGATCTCTCTACCTAACTATCATTTTGATAACTTTAAAAGCTCAATATTAGTGAATATCAACTCACAAAACTATGTCTAGAAATTGTTCATTGATAAGTGAAAACCTAGGTCAAGAGATGAACATACTTCTCAATAATGATCAACTCAAATATAAACCATAAAACAAGAATTTTCACCATATATTTATCATCAACATGTTCACATACAAATGATCAAGCTAAATACATATAAAGATGAAGATTATCTACCTCTAATCTTGACACAAAGAAGGATTTAGCTACCCATCACCATGGTAGTTTGATCAATAAGTAAAGTATGAAGCTTGATGAACATCAACTAGAAAGTATCAAAGATTTAAGGTAGAAATATTTGATCTTGAGTTACAAAATGATAAAAACTGTTTCTTAGCCCTAAAAATCTGATTTGTGTGTGTTGTATAAGAGTTGGTAGCCAAAATATCACAAAGGATGCTATTTATACAAGTGCCCAAAAGTGATTCCCGCTAAGCGGCCAGGGCGCGCTAAGCGGGCTCAACACAAATATATATTTTTCCTGATTCAGTGGACCGTACTAAGAGGGACGAGGCCGCTTAGTGCGCTAAAACAACATTCCATTATGCCAAATACGCAAAACATCAAAGCACGCTGCAATTTGCGCTTAGCGCGCTAGCCTGAGCAAAACTTCCATTTTTGACTTGTTGCACCTCACTCTTGGCTCTAGCTTGCCCAATGCTCCAATGCTCCAATGACCAACATCAAAACCTACAAAATAAGCATAAAACTAAGTAAACAAAGTGATTTATCTCAAAAACTATATAATTACTTATTTACATCTATTTACAAACTTAAACACTACTAATTATCAAAATAGAGTACAAAGAACACAAAATTATCTACAAATATATCAACATTTTTGTCCTTAACAGTAGGGTGGTGTGTTGGTTGTTTGATGAATTTTGGTTTGGAGTATTTGAGCTTGGACTCAATCAATTTCGCAAGTCCCAAAGCCTGTGAGATAGAGTAAGGTTGGTGTATAACTATTTCATTTTGAATTTCTAGAATTAATCTTGATATGAAACAATTAAGAATTACTTAAGGTGGTAAACCTAACACCATGTTATCTAATCTCTCAAAATTAGCGATATTTTGCCACTGATCCATGTTGTCTAAGCTTAAAGAGTTGGGCTTGATGGTTCTCATAGTTTGAGGGACCAAAACGCAAGTCAAGAGCTCTAGCAAAAGTGTTCAAATCTGTCAATTGTTGGTTTTGGAACATCCACTTATTCCAACTTAGGGCAGAAGTCGATTTTCGAGGGGTATGTTGTAGAAACCAAAAAAACTGTTCTTCCATAAATAGCCATTCCAAAGCATATGATCCTTATAAAACTCCTAGATCAATTTTTGGGTTTCTAACAGCCTGGTTTGAGAAAGCGTTTTGATTCAAAAATAGGGGAAATAGGTGAGTTTGTTGTGGGAATTGGGTGGGAAATGAGATGGTTAGATAGGCTAATAAAGCTGAAAGTGAAGAGTGCAAAGTGGATTATGGATAGGGAAATGAGGGATGGGTAGTGGTGGTGTGGAAAGTTGGACATTTGACATAGATGCTCGTGGGTAGGAGTACGTGTAATATCGGAAATGAGGTGTTGATAACAACATTTTCATAACTATGTGAGGTTAAGGTCAAGGAAGATGTACCTGTAGAGGATCTGTTCTGTAGGGTAGCTTCTTCCATTGCTGCAAATTGTTGAATCACCTATTGAGTCATGAGAGAATTGAGTTCAGAAAAACTGGCCTTCATACGTTCATCAATACTGTTGTCCAGTTGCTCCAATTGCTGTGCAAGGGTTTGATTGTTGTGTTCCATGGTAGATTCAAGAGCTCTATTTGAGAGGATAAGGTCAACAAGATGTAGGTTGATGTGTTGAATGGACTCATTAAGGTCTTTTGGGGTAGGATTTATGATTTTTGGAGGTATTGAAGAAAGTGATGAAAGAACCAATGATAGAATTAGGTTCCGCAACTACTTTCCCTATTAGAGTTTCACCATTGGACAAGGAAACTAAAATATAAAACTAAGAAAATAAAGATAGATCTGAAATATCGTATCTCATTCAAGCTGCCACATACCATATAAATATTAAGTTAAAAGGGAAATCAGCTAATGAGCCTAAATTACTTAGAGGAAAATAAAACTAATGGGCCTAAATCATTTACAATACAATACTAACACTAAACTATTTAGAAAAATGATCTTTCATCCATGTCTTCAATGTTCTCTTGGACCTTCGATCACAATTCCTTAAGTAATAAAATGCATCTTCATTAGTTGTAGAGAAACTACCACAAAGAGCATTAGCCACAAATAGTGACGGGTCTTACCCAAAATAAGGAGGGGTGCGATAAATATTAAATAAAATATTATAATTAAAATTCATAAGTGTGATTTATAATAAATGTTTTTACACGTTTAATCATTCTAGCACTCCTAAAAATGCACAAATAAAATTATGTATTAAAGAATACATGATCGGCATTAGTTAATAATGTAATTTTTATAAAATTAATTTACACGGTAAATGCATCATCTATTTTTTTAATATTTAATATATTTTTTTAATGAAAAGGTTTTATTTTAAATGATATGTGTTGGTAAATTCTAAGATCTTGGAAAAAATAGAAAAAGTACAAGTCCCACTACTACAATTTACGAGCAACTCTAATTTGATGGATCACATTTTGTTGTTTCCTTTCTTTTTCTCTCTCTTCATGTTTTTTTCTCTTCTTTTTATCGACTCTTAATACAAACCATTACCTCTTCTTCATGTGCTTCTTACTTCTAACTCAATTATTTTTCTCACTCTAGTTTTCCATAAACATACTCTACATATATTAAAAGTAAAACAAAAATTCGAGGGGTGTCACTGCACTTGTCGTCTCCTTAGAAGATATGCCATTGGTTGCAAGATCACACTTTCCCTTAACATTGTTATGAATTTTGATCACTTGAGTCGTAATCGATGTTTTCTCGCTTATTTCATGATATAATAGGCTACACATTCTTAAACAAGTAAGGATAAAAATGATAAACATAAAGAAGCAACAAAAATCTCTTCCAATATTCTAACTACATGTGATCCTTGGTTTCACTCCTCTTATTGTCAGACTGCATAATGTACAAAGACCCTTCCTTATCCCTTGAGAAACGATCATGATTCCTTTGTCGAGCTTCCATATACCAACTTCAAATTGATTTGTCATTCAAACATCATCCAACTTTCCTATTGAGATAAGATTTATATGTGTGTCTGGAACATATATCACCTCTTTCAATGCAAGCTTATTTTCACTCTTTATAACTTGAGTCACCTCATCAATGACAACAATGTTGCTTGTGACACGAGAATAGTCCTTCATGAGAAGTTACATGAAAGGATGCTCCTAAATCAATTATCGAAATACAATTATTTGACACTAAATATAGATAATTTTCATCTTTAACAAATATATTTCCGTTAATTGATACAACTCCAATAGCGGTCTCATCTTCTTTCTTTGTTGAGCCGATCTAGTTAGGATGAATCGTTCTAGTCTATTGATGTTTTTAAGAATCTACACTCAAACTCTCTATGTTATGTTATGTCATAGTAATAACAACTTAGTCTAGTGTTAGACTTTGATCTACCTCGTTATTTTCTATGACCACCTTTTTCAAAATTCCTAATCATTCTTCTATTTACAATGAAATTGGCTTCAAACTTTTTGTTGAAGACTCTTTCCCTTCGTCTTCATTCTTCATTTACAAAATAATCAGTAACAAATACATGTTAAGCTTTCTGTCCAAAACAGAATAGTAGAGTGACAATTAGTGTCTTAACTCTCAAGTAAGAAACTAAGAAGTAGAAGTATTTTTAACTTGTCATCTATCTCCATTTATATTTTCTTCAATTTATTTACAATACTCGTAAACGTATTTAGATGTTCGGTCATGTTGTCGTTTTAGTACTCAAACGTTATCAATCGTCTAACAATGTGAACTTTCTTTCTGTGCGTCTTCTCTTGAATCAATGATTCAAGTTGTCTTCTCCTTCTAGGTGATTGGCTCATGTGAATTCTTTAAATACAAGTGGTCTTCCATCATTAGCTTCCACTTATGGGAAATGCATTGGGTAACTTTATCTTTGGTGACCTTGGTGATGTATTCAGAAGGTAAATGTGTAATTAAAATGAATTATTTAAATGAGAAAAATAATTGATTAAGAGATAGAGAGAAAGTTGCTAAATCACCAAAATTCAAAGTTATCCCATGTTGATCCCAAAGATTGATTGCTATTCCCATTTTCTCTAAGAAAAATAAGACGTTTGACATAAAAAAATAAAAAAATGTTGAAGTTAACATGATCGCACCTCAAGATGCAATTTTAAATAATACAAATAGCTTATTCTTCATTGTTTTCTCTTCCTTGTCTGCTTAATGCATATTGTCCTTCAAATGTTTTTCTTCCTCTCCTATATATGTTTTCACCAGAGTTTCGGGTTCCTTCTGGTTGGTTTTCACCAGAGTTTCGGGTTCCTTCTGGTTGGTTTCAACACTTTCTGTTTGATGAACACTTGTACTTTTTTCTGCTTCAGCTTGTCGCCGCATAGCTTGTTCCTGTAGTGCTTTCATCATCATCTCCGAAGTTTTCTCTTCCCCTTCTAGTTGCATTTTCATTAAAAACTCAGCCTCGTTGTCAAGAGGCTTGAAGTATTCTTCAATGGCTACCTCCTGCAACAAATGAACCAATCACAGTTCGTATATTAATGAAACGAAACCATATATCACACAACAACTTAATATAACAATAACAGCTATAGATCATAATATGCAATTCGCTAAAAGTCACAATATAGTATATACCATTTTTAACCCCAAAAAACATGCAAAAAATGAAAGAATAGGAATAGTCCTAATTCAATATCAGCATAACTATGGAAAAATTTTGATTTTCATACAGAAATTTGCAATGTCTTTAGTATTTGGAAGTGAATGACAAAGATTGAAATTTTCGATGAAAATTTCCCCAAAAAAATTTGAAAGCTAAAAGTTTCAGATTATTGACGAGATTACAACTTACCGTTTCTTCGAGCTTCTTGTTCAAAGCTTGCATTTCTTCAACCATACGACGAACTTCAGATAAAATGATCTGCTCAGGTACTTTATTTATGGCTGCTTTCTTTGCTTGTGCCTTTTAATCAGAGAATATCATACACATCAGAAAATGATGAAATAAGAATTAGGAGATCCCATTTCATATGATTTCTAAAAGAGAACAAAACTAATTCAACCAAGAAAGTAAGATGTTAAACCTGTTGGACGCGTTGTTCAAGCTGCATCCTAAACTTCCGAATTCTCCGCTCTTCATATCCAGAAAGCACCCTAGCATAAAACAGGGCTTTCTTCCCAAACTCCAATAACTTATTCATATTGCCAAATCATCAACGCGCTTTACTATATAATTTCCTGCAAAAAAAGAAAAGTAATCAACTTCAGAGTTAAACTTATACGCTAGGTAGTTAATCGCGGGGAGATCGCGCCGAGGCGGAGGTGAGCGGTCACTGGCAGCAGTGATGCTAGGTGCGAAGCCATCACTGTCGCGGCTGCCTCAGATGCGTTTCACGAGAACAACAATGGAGATTTTTGAAAAGTAGAATAAAATTGACAGAAAAGCATGAAGAATCGAACTAGTAGGAGGAGGGATGGTGAAGAACAAATTGAAATCAGAATACTAACCTGCGTGCTTGAATTAAAGAGGCTGCTGCATATTTTGCTAGGTTAAATGAAAAGGGAAGAACCCAAACTTTGCAGAGTAAAGTGATGCAATAAAAATAATTAGTAAAAAATATAAATTAAAGAAAGACCATAAATTATTAAATTGAATAGAAGAAACATTTCTATTAAATTAAAATTGAATAAATAAATATGAAAAAAGGGATTGTGCACGGAAAAAGTGTAAATTATGTTTATAATTATTAAAATATGAAAGTAAAGTTTAGTTAGCTCAAAAAATAAGTTGAAATTTTTTTATAAAAATAATGTTATAATTTATTTTCATAAATTCATCTAAATAAATAATCTAAAAAATTATGCTATTATGTAAACTCAAATAAATAAATGTTTAGTCTCATTGTATTTTTAATACTCTAGTATATTTAAATATTAGTTGAATTAAATATTTACATATATTCACATTACATTTATATAGGTTTTTAAATTAAATTAATAGACTAATCAAACATTCAAAAATATCAAACTCAAACCTGAAAAATAAATCACAAATTAGACTTAAATTTTAAATTTTTTAACAAATCAGACTTACACATAAGAAAAGTCTAAATTGACCCAATTTATTTCTACCTTTTAACAATGTACTACCCTTAAACTAAATATATATTAATAACATTTTAAAAGGTCCTTACACTTTTCATGCCATAGACAATAATAAAGAAAGACAAGTCTCCTATTTTGACACCAAAACCTGCAGTCAAATTTGATATAGTATATATTGTTCAGCGTATTTAAAAGTAAACAGTATATTTTTATTAGAATAATATTATTTTAAAATATATTATTTTTTTTAAAAATTATTTATTTTAAAAATTATTTATTTTTATAATTTATTTTATAATATAAATATATAATTGTGTCATTAACCAACTTTACAATTGTATTAATTATATTCTAACATTAAATTATAAATGTATTAACTAATTTTTATACTCTATTTAATATCTTTTTATGTTTGAGAACTCATTAACCAAATTATGAATTGTATTAAACAACTTTATAAAAACTATTAACTAAATCTTAACAATATATAAATTTTTTTATGTCAGAATATATATTAATCAAATTTAAAATTGTATTAACTAAGTTTTAATATTTCATCAACCAAAATAATTTTTAAAAAATAGAAAAATATATTGAAAAATTAAAATAATAATAAAAATATTGTTCAAATCTCTAGATGTCTATTTATTATTGAATTTGGTCTCCGACGTCCAACAAAAATACTTTAAACATTCATTTGCAAGAATGCTACCTCTCCACTAGAGACTTGTGTTGTTTGATTTTTAATTGCAATGCATGGATGTATATTGGATATTAACAGAATATTTATTGTAGTAGTAACAAATTGCTTTTTGTATAGTGATGTTAAGTTTTATTTAAAATGTCAAATATAATTAAATAATAATTAAAATAATTTGTGTTGGAAAAAATTGTGTGAAAATTTTCTTTTACAAAGAAATTTTTTAAAATGGGTTGTGTTTTGTTTAAAATATTAAATAATAATATTAAATATAATCAATTAATAGTTAAATAGTTAAGATGTATTTAACTATTGAATTTAATGAATATATTAAATATTAAATAATTATTTTAAATATTAAATAGTTAAGATATATTTAATAAACTAATTATTTTAAATATTAAATAATTAAGGTATATTTAAATATTGAATTTAATAAACTAATTAAATATTTGATTATTTTGATTAATAATTAAGTATTTTAATTAAATATTAAATAATTAATAAATTAAATAATTATTTAACAAGTTAAAACATTAAGAGTTAAAATATTAAATAGGAAAATTACTAATTTAATAGTTAAAATAATATAAAATAAATATTTAACATATTTACTGCAAAATAATTGTTTACATATTATGAATAAATTTACACAAATTAAAATTCTTTCCATGAAATAAATTTATATTTTAAATAAAATAATTTAAATAAATACTAAAAAATCTCATTATTTGGTATTTAACTTAATGAATATTATTCTTAAATAAAATGAATTTTTAATAAAATGAATTTTTAAATAAACATATCCATGTTTAAGTATATAAATATGTAATATTAATTTTAAATAAAAAATATATTTATCATTGAAATAAAATATTATAAAAAATTATATTGAAAATGTATAGGTATTTTCAATAAACAGTATTAATATATAAATAATATATAAATTTCTTATAAATAATATATAAATGTATAAATAAATATAATTTTTAATATAATTTAAATTTTAAAATGGGTATTAACTTTAATATATAATATTTAAAATTTTAATATATAATTAAACAATTATTAAACAATCATTAATAATAAACTGAAAATAAATAAATAAAATAGGTTTAAGTATATAAATATATACCTTAACTATTTAATATTTAAAATCATTAGTAATGTTATGCTAATATCCATTATATATACATTAATTGTAATTATTAATCAAGCAGTATAAATAGTGTGGTGGAGAGACATTATTGCTCTAAATAAGAGATCAATGGTTCGAAATCTCATCCATAATTTTTGAAAATGTATTATTTAACATCAATAGTGGAGCGATACACATGATAAAAATTGATTACGTTAAAAGAAAAGATATATTTAAAAAATAAAATAAAATTATTTTACATCAATAATATATATTTTAATATTTTATATATTATCTTAAAAAAAGTTATATTAAATTACAAATAATTTGAAAATAAATATATTAATAACATAAATAATTAAAAAATGATTTATTTTTCTCGTATTTAAATTAATATTTTTTTTATTATTTTTTTTTTAATTATAAAAAATATAATAATTTATGCGTTCGCACGGTACTGATGTCGTACGCACATTTTTATTTTTAAAATATAAATAATAAAAACAAAATTGTTTTTATTAAAATAGTCTACGTATTTTTAAAGTAAAAACAAAATTGTTTTACCAATGGTTTTAAATCAATAATAAACTTGTTCCCGTTATTACTCAATATTTAAATCAATAGTTTAATATCAAAACTATATGTGCGTATCATACTCGTAGAGATGTCAATGGGGCGGGGCGGGAACAAGGGATACATTCTCATATCAATCCCCGTTCTCGAATATATTCCTCATCCACACCTCGGATCTCCGTCACAGAAAGATTTTATCCCCATCCCCGTCCCTGCGGATTTCCGCAGGTCCCCACGGATCCCCAAGGTTCATGCGACGATTCATAAATATGATTTTATTTATTTATTATTTTAAACCAAATTAATAGTAAAAATTTAAAATTTAGAAATTATTCCTTTATGATAAATATATTATTTTAATAATATTTAATCTATAATATTGAGTATTATGACAACCAAAATTTCAAAATTAAAAAAATTTAAAAAAATCATTTATATCTCATTCTTTTACTAGCAATACATTTACATTTTAAATTTGTTTATAAGATAATTTATATGAGATGACAAACAAAGCTACGAAGAAATATAAAATTATATATAAATTAAAGATATTATGATATTCTAAGCGAGACGCGAACTCCATGAGACGGAGGATATTTACGCCACCTCCGTCTCTAAAGTGCTTTTGGGGAGACTTTATTCCCCATCTTTGTCTCTATGGGGAAAAAATTCCTCGTCTTTGGGCCTCAAATGGGGAATCCCTAGAGATCCTCGCTAACGGACACAAGTTGACATCCCTAAATACCTGAATGTTCGCACGGATACTGATGCGATGTGTTAAGTTGTCGTCAGTTATTTACAAATTAAAATAAATAAAACATTATGATATAAAGAAAAATCAAATAATTTATTAATTATTTCTAATCAAAATAATTTATTGTTTTTAAATGAGATAATAAATAAATTTCTGTAATATCTTTCATGTATAAAAATATTTAAATCATAGTTAAACACAATTAAGTTAATTAAATATAATTTATACACAATTTTTGAAGTAACATTCTTTTTCTCTATTTTGTTTTAATTGCAAAATAAAAAATTAAAAGAACTTTAAAGAGTCACCAACATGATAATGAGAGATCCGTGAAACCGCATCCAACATGCTTTGCTAAGGTATAAAAAAGAGTCACTAACATGGTGTAGTACAAGTACTAAATACTTGAGTCCTTAAACAGTTTGGTCATGACTCATGGGTTGTTTAAAAAAATATTAGAATAGATCAACTTAAACTATCTTACTTATATAGTTAGGCTCAAAAATACTTTGGTTTATGTTAAATAATAATAATAATAATAATAATAATAATAATAATAATAATAATAATAATAATAATAATAATAATAATAATAATAATAATAATAATAATAATAATAATAATAATAATAATAATAATTAATAATAATAATAATTAACAACAATAATAATAATAATAATAATAATTAATAATAATAATAATTAACAACAACAATAATAATAATAATAATAATAATTATAATAATAATAAATAATAATAATAATTAATAATAATAATAATAATAATAATAATAATAATAACAATAATAATAATAACAATAAAAACAATAACAATAATAATAATAACAATAATAATAATAATAACAATAATAATAACAACAATAATAATAATAATAATAATAATAATAATAATAATAATAATAATAATAATAATAATAATAATAATAATAATAATAATAATAATAATAATAATAATAATATTATTGTTAGTGCGTGAGGCACTTTTAGTGAGGAGAGAAAGAGAGAATAATAAAAAATAAGGATTTGTATTATTCAAGTGTACAAATAATGATACACACTATGACTATTTATATACAATCCTAATTGGGTTTGGGCTAACACAACTTGGATTATATTAAATATTAAATTTAATCAAATCTAATCTCATCTAATTTAATATTTCAACACACCCCCATAATCCAAGTTGTCGAACATCCTCAAAAATAGTCAATATGAACTATTTCTAATTTCTTTCTCAAATTCAGGAATCTGTCGA